TCTGACTAAATGGAACGAACTTTTTTTTTCAATGATTGTTTTTTAGCCAGAATTGATTAGTCTAAAATTTCAAGACTAGCTTAGACTATTTTTAACTCATTCCTAGCTGATTTTGTTATCCTTGACTATGACCAAGAATTCAAAGCTAAAATATCAAATTTTCGTTCTCGAACAGCTTACTATTACTGCTATCTTTTCTCATCAGATATTTGCTAAGCATTGTGCTAACTACGACATGAAGGAAACACTAAAAAATCAATCTACTCTTTTAATACTTATTTTTATCAATAATTCTAGCTCTTATTCTAAATATTAAATACATCATTTTTTTGAATCGATTGTTATCTTGAACCTTGAACTCCTTCCATAAATATAACTGTCAAATATGACAGTATAAAGATCAAATTACATCAAACATTACGATAATTTTATCTTCATTTATTGACTAACATAATGATAATTTCATTCTATACTTATTACTTTGTCTGATATATATAAATAGATAAAGTATTAATAATTTCCGTTATAACGACTAATTTATTATGAATTTCAGGAAGCAAGCAGAGAACTTTCGACTTCTTTAGTATACATATTGAATATTCATTAAGAACTAGGCTAACTTAGCATGCTGCAAGTTGTTATGCACATATAAAACTTTATCAAGTCAAATTCAGTAACGTAATACATTATTTGACTGCAAAAGCTACAATTCGAATACAGTAAAAACAACAACCTGTGACTGTAACGATGTGTGTTTCAATGATAGGGCAGTTACTGTTTGCCATAATAATGTTCCTTGCGTTACTAATCACGCTTGCAGCTTTGTTGACGCCTAGTAAGATTTTTGTCCGAATCATGGATATAAAAGTTAAGCGCTGACATCGACAATACTATATATAACTCATTGACTTACTTTAATTAAAAATTACTTTGAACATTCAACTGAATAACTTGCAGTAGCTTGTTTTTCTGGTAATAATAAGAGATTGCTTTTCTAAGAGATATGCTAACTTTCTACGTACTATATAGTGAAGTAAGTGAAAGACTCATCAAAACTGCTCCCAACAAAAAACAGCTAAGTAATAGTAATATTTGTAATGTTACTTTCAAGTATTCTCAAGAATTGATTAAAGCAAAATTTTTAAAACTGGAATGAATAAGAATAATTTGTGATTTAAGTGCTACAGATAATAAGATATAAATTGAACGCAAAAACAAGTCTTTGAAGTACTTATTATTTCTAATGCAAATTTTGAGATTGGAGAGCATTTACATTGATAAATGGAAAGGAAAAACAAGCAGAAACGTATTCGATTCCAGCAACGATGGGACTTATATGGTGTGATTCGCAGCCTCAAACAAAATTTGATATCAGCATCGATTATTGTAAAATTTACTGGAATGTAAGACTAAATTTTATATTTTTGCAAATGAAACTGCTACCACTAACTTCTTTTTAGTTCACATAAGTGATAATAAAAAAGTATCGAAAGTCAGACTGTACTCGATGTGCTTTATATACTAAATGTATAGTATTAGCCAAAAGTTTGTATTACGATCTACTGCACAATATGAGTAGTCACAAGTGATTAGTATTGCTTACTTTTGAATAATTTATCGAATATCTCATGACTTTTACGGGACTTAAACATGACGCAGCAGTTATTATCTCTAGATTTCTAGTACTATGCTCAATCATTAAAAGTAAGCAAAATGAATGAATGCTGCATTTGCTAAGTGAAATTAGGACTACGAACTGATTCTAGATGTCATAATAAGAATGAATTTTAGAATATAATTACTGCAGGATAAGCCAGAATGGGAAAGAGTCGTTACAGCTTTAGTAATCGCAGCGACCAGTCTCGAAGTCATTTCACTGATTTGGGTTGCGATAACCTTTTGTGCTTGTTCTTGTCGCCAATTTTGGATTCTTTTTCTACCACTCACAGCTTCTCTGACTACAATACTGCTGGCATTTGCAGTATTCATTTATACTCAAAATAACAATAGTGCTTTCGGTTAGTCCTTTTGTTCAAATTCAGTTAGCTTCCTAAAAAATCTATGCAAATGTTTGTTTTTAATGATATAACATGCTCAGGAATTATTTGTAAAGAATAATTTTTAGAGATTCTTGACGAAAACCAAAGAAGTGTATCGCAACTTTATCATACAGATTTCTCTTATAGCTATTACCTGGCTTGTGCAGCTATAGTCTTGACAGTTATCAGTGCTATTATTGGTGCATTTGCCAGAAAACTAGCCGAAACATGCTGCTAGTAATCATTCTGTTACTCATTATGAATTACAGATTGCTTTTTACGTTATTATTTTTGTCTTTGTTTGATTACATACTTTTGTTATATAACTTTATGGAACTTTAAAGTAACTTATGATGTTTATATCAATAAAAAACTCTTTTTCCAAGAAGCATCTACACATTTTTGTCATCGCCTGCTTTCTGGCAGAGAAAGCTTCACATATGATCTCAAAAGTCATCAATAAGAACTAATTATAGAACACAGTACCATAAAGTATAAATATAACACTTTACATGTTTGACATCTTTGCAATATTAATTCTAGAGTGAAATTCCAACAAATATAATATTTTTATCCGAATATAATTCATATTTTCATCACAAACATTAAGAGAAATTTATCCCTCAGCAGTACAGTACAATAATGCATTTGAGCAGGATATTTGCTGTTACTAATAGAAGAATAAAGAGCAAGACCCATAATTACGCAATAGAAATACTGTACAAATTCCAGAGTATCGAAAAATATCAATATAAGAGGAAAAAATCTGCGTTCTGTAAAGAAAATTTTTGTACAACTTGTAAAGAAAGTCTCTGTAAAAAAGTGTGCAATTGTCGATTTAGAACTGATAGAGTAAATTAAAATACGATATTTTTTAACGGAATGCAAAACTAAACAACTTTTTCCGAAAGTGGTCAACTGGTACTTCAATCAACGAACGATGGACAACAGTACTAAAGGTCAAATCTGCTTGCATTCGGACTCTCGTTTCCCGGAACTCTGCATTGGTATATTCTCAGTACTGAAACAATCGAGAACAAGCTACTAGGTGAATAGAGGAGAAAGCACTTTCTAAAGAGAGAAAAAGAAAAGAACAGAAGCAATAGACAGCGTTAAAAATCAACGAGAAAGCAAAGTAAATTCGTTTGTGCTTCTTTGAAGAAGGAGAGGGAGATAGATTGAAAAAAAGACGAAAAAGTCATTGCAAGTTGTTGTAGTAAAGATTGCGAGTGAGTGAAGTTTGATCAATTTTTTTGATTGATGTAGACTGATTAGAGTCATAATTGTCAAAGAAAATTTTAAGATATTATCTTTGAAAACAAAAGTTATGTTTCTTCTTAGATGCATTTGAAAATTTTTGGTTAATTCTGGAAGGTGTAATGCTTGTGACAATGATAAGTTTCGTCAGAATGCTTACAAACTTATTTGCCTTACGGTCCAATATACGTTATCCATGTGATGCTCGCGTGAGAGTATATAATATTTCTAGTATTTACAATTTTTAGCTTTTCTTCAGGGAACTATAGGGGAATACAATCGTTGTAATCATACCCATTTCACCTCGCATGAACTTTATCTCACTTACAGAAAATGTACTCTCGTTTTTGAGAAATCGCAGAGCACACGGTATCTTCGATAAAGTCAACTTTCACCACCACTATTTCTGAAGCAACTTTGAGGACAATTGGACTGAAGTGACTTGTCACTTGTATCAAAGTTGAAAAGTTATGTAAGTTCAATATTTGAATATTTTTCAGTTTCCATATCATAAAATTGTATTGTCAGTAGGGGTAGTTGTATTTCCATGTATAGATTTTTTTTAATAATTATAGTTTCACTTTGAATGTATTTTTATCTTTATATTTGTTATAATACTCATGCATATATCATTTCTAAGCAGAATGGTGCTCAGGATTTCAGAATGTTATCCGAAAGAGAATTCAGTTCAAGTGAAGATAGTGAAAGTGAAGATAGTCAGTCTTCATCACAATACCATCGAGTGCGTTGATCATTTTAAATTCTTCACTTTTCTACATATAATTTTATTATAAATTTGCATTAACAAAAAAGAGTGTGTTATTGAGTAAAAAATTAAGTTTTTAAGGAAGCTGCAATATCTTTTGTGAATATCATCTCACAGATTTAATTGGGTTTCAATGAATGTTAATGAATGAATTGGTACTTGATTGAAAATTTGAATTGAATTGAGCATAATTTACTAATAGTATCATGGTTTATTATTAATCCTATCTAACAAATTTCGTTCCTTTTTTATGGTATTAGTTGTAGTTAGATAGCGATATGAATTATTTCAGAAGAATAAGAAATGGAGCAAGTCATCATCTTCAGCTCGAAGTAATGCAAAAACACCTTTCAAATATCTTGCAACTGTTTATGTAAGTCAGTTACTATAATTTCAAAAGCGAAATTCATTTTCTAAAAGTACAATTGCGGTATTTGTTTTTTGATCAGTATTATTGCATTGATAGATGTTTGCAATGAGGTAAAGTATATTTTTTACCTTTTCTAGTTTGCTTTCATTTTATAACAAATTTAAATAACTATGAAGGGAGTTCTTGTAGAAGGTGCACTTATTTATTTGCAAAATGCGCATAAATCAGGTATAATTTGTGTATTCAAATAATTTATATGATGTCATTTTTTCATGCTATAGGAAGGTCATAAAAAAACAATATATGGTGTGGCATTCAGTCCATATCTAACTGTCAATCCACATTTTGCTACTGTAGGAGAAAACCGGGTAATATATTTTATTTTCATACGTTGTAAGCAACAGAAGTTAGTTTAATAAAAAAAAAATTTGTTGTTCTGAAGATTATCATCCAAAGCAGTAAAAATTTTATATCAATATTCTATACCGCACTTTTAAAAACTTACATACAGCCACATTTCATGCATCAAATGAAAGATTTGTGGATCACTTATCCTTTTATCAATCTTCTGCTAATGGCCCACCCAGTTAAAGTGTTCTTTCCAACATGATTTTATTATACTTTTTAGTCCAAATTTACGAAGTATTTAAAGCTTAATTTTGCATTTCTTGTGTGTTTAATACTGAAAGAAATAGAAAATTTTATCCCTATCATTAGTAGCCATATCTTTAGAAGCAGGCGGATGCTCTGCAGCTTTATATTTTCGAAATATTAAACTGTTGATTAAATAACAGTCGTCTCGAGTGATTAAAATTTTATTGCGGACTCCCTAAAAAATCTTTATTCGTCTCTATATTTGCTGTATTTGTATCAGTGGTTAAATGCTATATAGGTATCGATATATGCTATTGCAAAAGATGGAAATGGTGTGAGGCTGTTGAGAAGTTTTCACGATTCAGCTGTGAGTTTATAATTCATATTAAATAAGGTTGTCACGAAACCATAATTTATATATGTTTTTGATTAAAAATTTCAGTTTTCTCGTATTATTTTTCGTTTTGCCAGTCCATTTATTTCAGAAAAATGAGTCATTTTTTGCCATATGTTGGGGATATGATACAGAAAATGATGTTCATGTTGTGATTGCTGGTGGAAATCGGGGAATCATCAGAGTAATTAATGTTGTTACGGGAGAGCTTGTCAATGTTTGTTTTATTAATTGTACAAATATTTCCATTTCTTCGGTATTCAAGTTTTCTTATATGTTAAAGTTTCATGACTTTTCTTCCAAAATATGAGTGTATCCAGAACTTTTCAGAGTTTAATAGGACATGGTGACGCCGTTAATGATGTCCGTGTTTTTCCTAATGATTCAATGATCGTCGCTTCAGCTAGTAAAGACTTTACAGCTAGGATATGGAATATCCACAATAGTGCTTGTTTAGCAATCCTTGGCGGCGTGGAAGGTCACCTAGATCAAGTTATATCAGTAGTTCGTTTTATATCAATATCAGATTTTGATGAGTGTTATGTTATTAGTAAGTGTTTTAAATTATTTTAAAAATGTGTGAAGTCATTATTTACGACGTATTTGTTATTCTTATAATTCTGTTTCTTTTGAAATCTTATTTTTAATAGGATTTTGACGCCAGCAGTGAATATTTGGCATCTGCAAGTATGGATCATACCATCAAATTGTGGTATGTTGGAAAAGGCAGTGGTGTTGATCGACTTGTCGAACAGTCTAAAGCTGATCTAAAAGTGAATTATGGTTTTTCACCGCTTCTTCGAAATCTGTAAAAAATTTTTATGAGAGCATAGTATTCGCAATCCAGAGCTCTAAAAGGCTATATGTAGTTTATATGAAATATCTTTTGTAAAATCTTATCTCTTTGTAACATTATTTTTGGCTGTTTAATTTATTCGGTTTTCCATTTTTTGGAAAATATAAAGAATCCAAGTAATTTTTGTTATGTAAGAAAGATTTATTTTCAAAAGTATTAAAAATTATTTATTGAAAGTGTGAAAAAATTTTTTAGCTGGTGGATTTTCCCGCTGAAATACACTACCCTCGCTGTTGTACCAGAGATATACATACAAATTATGTTGACTGTGTTCGCATTTTTCACAGACTGATATTTTCGAAGGTAAGTATGTGATTGTCAGATTTTATAAAATTCTGATTGATCAAATCTCATAATTTTTTGTGGATCAAAAAAAGAATATATAAAAGAGAGATTTAATCGTGCAAATCAGATCTGATGTTGAAAAGTTTAGATCGAAATTCATTTAAGTACTTTTGTGCTTCATTATTTTTCTGATCAAAAAATTCAGCTATTTTCAGTCTACCGAAAATGAAATAGTGTTGTGGAAATTTGGTGATTTTGATGATATGCTTGCTGGTCAAGGGAATAAATTAAAAACCGAAACTTGCGTTATTCATTTTCGCCAACTGAAACTACCAGAAACTAATATGTGGTATATCAAATTTGAAATTGATCCGCTGGAAAAGGTAATGACTTTTAGATGGTAATTAAAGTATTTTAAAAATGGTTGAAATTCGATCTTCTTCAACTTGAACAATATCAGTAGCTCAAAACTATGTTTTAAAATTGTACTTTATTTTCACACATAGTAATTCAGCATACATCAAAATGATTAGCAGTGGTTACTGCAACGCAAAGGTTTATAAAATTTCTAATTTTTACTCATTCTAGATATTTTAGTATTCAGTACATAGTTTCAGTACCTTGTATGCGGTAATCAAAAAGGTGAAATTCATGTATGGGAGATCAACAATGGTTCATTACCTTCCGTGAAAAGGTATGCTTTTAGTATGTTATTTTCAATTTTTTTCGAGCAAATTTGTTTAAAATGTTGAGAATGATTTGTTATTATAGTTACGTTAAAAATAAAATACAGAAGTGTTGTCTTAAAGTGTTATTACAGTCTTGAAAACTGTTTTTATTCATTCAATGGAGGATATTTTAAGCAATTACGTATTGCGGATGAAAGATGTTTGGTGTACAGTAAGACAAGTTGCATTCAGTCCATGTGGTCAGCATATGATTGCTGTGGCAGACGATGCAAGCATATCTAGATTTATAAGACAAGTGTAATGTTTATTGCTTTTATTAAATGTAGTAAATAAAGCAGTTGATTAATTCTGTAAAGTAAACTAAATAAGATGAATCTAATTGAATTCTGAAAGAATTGTTTTGTTTATAATATTTAATGTTTTCATATGTGTATCATAAACTGTGATGGATATTTTAACCTTCTTGTGCTTCTCATAAATTATGCATTAACTACATCACTTTTCTTCCAGAGTTTTTCTGGGGTTTATATCAGAACGAAAAGTTTATCCCTTGTGAAAATTTGGATTTCATCTTATATTATTAACTTGCTGCATTTTTTTTTCATTCTGTAATTATGTAATATAAAGTTTGTACCCTTGAGAAAATTGACTTTTTTAGATCACGCGCAATTTTTCATATATAGTTGTTTGCCGATGTTCTGTATTATCATCAGTAAAAAAGATATCAAGCATTCGTTTGTGAATCCTGCCGTCATAATTTTTTCATAAACTGGTACAAGACGTGAAATCAACTCTCGAAACAAGTCAGAATAGAAAAAGTGGAAGATGAAGAGTGTAGCTGATTGAATTTGTCGAGATTGTAGTCTTTTTTTATTTTTTAGTACGTGATAGGTAATAACTCCAGTAAATGATATTGAATATTGTAAACAAACTGGGAAATAGAATTATGGAGAGTCGATCAATGCGGTCAGCCGTCCAATTAGTTTTCTTACTGATTGATCGTCGCGCTTTTCTTACTGGATTTGGAGAAGATATATCGATGGAATTCAGTAGTACTTCTTGCTGACTTGAGCCACTGTCAATGAATTAAATTTTGAATTACTATTAAGCACGTAAGTTGCAGCTCAAATTTACTAGAAACAGCATATTGTTGTAAAGTTTTAGACAGACTCTTCTATCTTATAAGTCATCTCTAATAATGTTTGAACAAGCTTAGTTATTTGGGTTTGTTGCATTAAAAACGAATGAGAATTTAGCGACCAACGATTTCCGTCTTTGATATTAAGAGTACTAGTTTCGAAGTCCATTTCAATTTCAATGACTTAAGTTTTAGGCAAACGAACATTGGGTTGATAGTATCCAGTTTTCAGGAAACCAGGAATTAGCTCATGTTCAGAAATTTACAGAAAAAATCATAAATGCAATCAGCAGTGTCCTTATTGGCTGATAAATTCTGAACCTTGAAAATTTTCTCCCAATAACTTTCTTAGTTTTCAAACGATTTTCAGATGATGCGACGAATACTTTTGTCTTCATCCGTGGATCATTTGGGCTATGGCATTCACTGAAAATAAACTTCTTCAGAATTGGCACAGACTTTTCGTAAAAGAATATTTTAGTCAGAAATTGAAGGAAATATTTAAAGTTATGAGCTTGAAGTTTAACAATGTTCTTATAGAATAGCCATTAACGTACTGACCTAACACATGCTACAGTAGTGTTGTCTCCCATTTCTTTATGATACAAAATTGGTGAATGTTTTCTGCTGGTATTGAAAGAATTTCGTCTGCTATTATGTTTTTTACTTAAGTTAGTGATGGGAGTCACCTGAAAAAAGTTTACTGTTATATCCAATTTCAAAATTTTAAACGATTGAAATAGTATTACGTTTAAAGACGCAATTTGATTTGATAAAACGTCTTAAAATATTTTGTTAAACAAAACGCGAGAAACTGTAATATATATGCCAAACTGACTTCACTGCTTTCATTCATTGAACCGATGACAGCTAATTCGAGAAGTGAGCAAAATACGAACGAAAGGCACGATAGCATCCAAACATCTACAAACTGCTTATATTCACTCGCTTTTATGGATCTGACACTTGGAGGTTGTATTTGATTTGAAGTTTTATTAGAATTGAAGTGAAGAAAGAACGAACCGAGAGCTTTCACGTAACTGACACGAGGTAAATTTCTCATGATGTTACCAAAATGAAAGGTAAGAGCAAGAAGTGAATTAACGCCAAGCATAGTGCGAGCTGGAATCATCTTGGAACTTAAGCAGAAACTGATCCAGCTAGAATTAATTATTTTAAAGACATTCAGTAATCAAATCAAATTTTCACCGCATTTTAAGACGTTTGGATCAAAAAGAAATCTTGTAATATTTTATATTTTGATATTTTATATTAAAATATAAAATATCAAATTCATGTTGGTTGCGTTCAGATTTATTTCTAAGTAATTCTTCTTAAATACATTAAATACCTGATAAAAATTGTGAGATATGTTGGGACGTAGGCTTGAAATATATACCATCCATAGCGTCTAGTAAATGTGAACGTCATCGTCAATTCATTCCAAACACCTGCTGGATATGTCTGTAATATAAATACAGTTTTCATCTCATAATTGAGGTTTCCTGGACTTCAGAAATCCATTATTTGTGATTACAATCAGTTTATGAGAGAGCATCATTAACACAAATGGAAACTTCGGAATACCAACAGTAAAAAAATAAAATAAGTAAGTACTGAGAAAAAATTGGTAACTTTGAAATTAAGTAAAGTTTAATTATTTTTCACAAAATAGAGTTGAAATTTGAACGTTACGTGTAATTGGTAATAGTAATTAAAACTAATCCAATTACATACCACCTGAGCGATGGATGTATTATAACTTGTAAGTACGAAATCAGGCAGAATTATTTCATCTTTTAATAGTATTAAAGGTGCTTTTGTGCTTATCCACTGCATGTCAACTTCCTGAAATAATTTAGTCATAAATTTAAAAAAATGTTTTTAAATTTTATTTCAGTAAAATTAATTAAAGTTGCGTCAGCACTTTAAATCATACTGAATGAATTTTAATGACTTCCTAACTGAAACACTTGTGTATTCAGGTAATACCATATTCACAAGACTTTTCATTACTTATCTTTGCGCACTTATATACAAATAATATATTCACAAAACTATCCAATTTTGTTTCATTTCATTTTATTTTATATTTTGAAGTAAAAACATAACAGTTTATGAAAACAGTTGTGTGTATAATATTTATTTTATTTATGCATTACTTTTTTTCCAAATTAAACTCTGATTCAATGTGAGTAAATAAACTCTTCTCGTTTTAATCAAGAACTGAAATTAGTAAGATAATAAGAATTTTCAATATTTTCTTTAAATTTTTGATTAAACAACTGGCCTGATTGTTGTAATTGAAGCTCTCAAATGTAAGCAGGCATGTTTGTTCATCCATAGGGAACGAAGTAAAATCCATTTGACATGGACCTTTAATCTGCACTCTGTAATTTTTATACTCTAGTCTAGTCTAAATCGAAAAAAATCTGCATAAAAATGGTTAATAATTTTATGGTTTTAATGGTAGTAATTTTATTAATTTATATTTTGAACTAAACTATATGGTTTTTTAAAACTTACCGTATCATACAATTATAATTTTATTTTGCATTTTGTTGTTTTTGCTAAAACCTTAAATATTTTTCACGTATTTCTGAAATTAGCATTTATCACCACAACATTTGATACTGTCTATTATTTTATGGAAAAAATTAAAAATGCAAAACATAACTTCAGTACCTGTAATTAGCCCATACAGTACCATTGGGATAAATCATAAGAAAGAGATTAGTGAAAGGTGATTTATGTATAGTAGCTGATTTGCTATTAATAAATACTGTGTTTGGTTTCCATATTTGTTCTAAAATCTGAAAAGTATATTGCTCTATTATTTTTCACTTTTTTGCCAACAATTTTTTTCATCAGTAATTATGTAAAGCTAAAAAAATGAACTACATTTTACGAATTGAACACAATTAATATTTGGCAAAAAGAAAAAGTACTGAATATTCAAAATTTTTGTTATTATTTTGGGAGTATAATTCTGAAATTTGTTTCTAATGTTCAATAGTCGTTTTTTACAAAATATATAAAAATGATAGAATTAATTTTATTGATAGCAAAAAATATATGATATTTGCCTCATTGCTGAGAGACAGATTATACTTGCAAGGATTCAAGTCATCATATCTAAGAGCATTATCAATCCACAATTCGGTTACGTAAATATCCAAATCAAAATCAGATGTTATTTCATTAACTGAGTTCACCTCCTGAACCCATACCTAAAACTCCGTGATTTTATTTTTAATACTGAAAAGCAAGTAAAAAGTTTGCAATCTTTTAGCGATTATTTTTCTATTTCTATCAAAACAAAACGAAAAAAATACTCTTTTTGCAGCAAACTTAATTGCTACTTCAAAAGGTTTTTAAAAAACCTTAACTTAGATTAATCAGAAACTTAGATTAATGCAAAGACCCGATGTTCATTTTTTGAAATCAAATTGCTATCAAATAAATTAGCAGATAAATTAATTACATATAGTTCAATTATTCAGCACAAATTAATATAAGGTCAAAAAACTTGGTGAGCTTGAAAATTGAAGTACTCAAATAGCTCAAGGTCTGAATTATTTAAATTGAACAGACAGACCTCAACCCAAACAATTACACCTTCTTCTGATGGTGTCTTATATGTTTTATATTTGTTCAGCAAATTTTCGATTATTTTTTTATCTGAAGTACAAATGTCACCAATTTCATCGTATTCTGTATTAAAAATTGGCGTTTCAACAATCTGCATTTGTGGTTCTGCTAAAAAAGTTATGTCTAATTTTCAAAATCTTACAGTTTTTCAAAATATGCATAATGTCAAAATTTGGTAGAATGATAAACTTCGGTACACATTATTTTTCACAAAAGTTTTATTGAGATGTGAAATACCTGAAGATATAAAAATAATGATGCTTAAGAAATATGACAAAGTAAAACAAACTTTATTTATTTTCTACTAGTCAATAGCAATTAGATATTTGAAGCGTTTTTAATTATTTATAGCTTATAAATTACAGCAATTAAGTATTTGAAGCGTTTTCATTTATTTATAATTTATAAATTATCACTCGTTTTTTGAATGTGCAGTCTTTTTTTAAATTTTTCAATCAAAGTTAAATATTGTAATGCATAGATAAAATATCAAATTTGTGATTATTATTATTTGTTATTTTTTCAGAAATGAAAATATTGAACTGCTAGTATGAATATGTGATATGATTATCACATATTGATAATTGATAATTACGAAAATTGCAATAATGAGAAGCAATTCAAAGTTGTTCGGACATACTTGTGCTATCATCAATTATTTCAACTAATTCCGGCACTGGAACACTTTTTGGAATTGGTTGTTTAAGCTGAAAGGAATATTTATTGTTGGTGAATTATTTTCAAAGTATTTATTAATTAGTAATTTTGCTTGAGATGAAGTGTTTGCACACTTTAAAGCACGTACTTCTTACTTATTTTAGAATAAGAATGCAAATTTTTTAAATCAGAAAATAGAGTATATTATATAATACTTTTTACCTGTGTGAATACTGATTTATGCTGTAAGATTTTACGATAAATTTGTTTACATTTGGAAAATTTTAAAAAGTTCAAAGGTGAAATTAATTAAAGTGATATTTGTGAAGCAGTAGATTAGCTTTTCATGGATTTGCTAAACTCAGCTTTTGTTAAATTACAGTTTTAGTCTTTGTGCGATTGCATTACAGAAACCGAATTAGGAATAATTTCTGATCACAATGTTTATTAATAAGCAAGCAAACATGGGATTATAACAAAAAGCTTTAATATCTTCAGTTACATTTTTTGAAAAAAAATATTGCAACTTTTGATGAAAGCATAATTTTGATTTAAAAAAATAAGCTTTAAATTGAATCCAATTGCTTTTCAAATAATTTTATTGCTTCCTGAATTATTAGTTAGTAGACAGCACTTCAAACAACCTCAAGAAATTTTTGTCTGAGTTCAGCCAGTAATCTGCTGTTTTGAGCATAAATTTCCCAGTAATATTTCTGCAATACTGTAATTAACTTGTTATCGATAAATCTAGAAAAGTATATCAAAAAATTGATTTTGTCACCTCAAGAATCTCCAATGCATTCTGAGAATCTTTTGCATTATTTTCATGCTCATTTCTCTGATTGAAACCCAAATCATTAGCAAATACTAATTGCCATGTCATCAGCATAAATGAAATATTATGAATATATTTGATCTTCTTCATACCTTAAGAGCATTGAATCTAAAATAGAACATTGATACGTTTTCATAAACGTCAAGTGATTTCGCTTAAATCGAAAATTGCATCAAAATACTCTTTTTTTAAAATTCATATTAATATTTACGTATGCATAATTAATAGTTTTATCAAAGATAATTAAAAAATACTCACCACAACACATAAAGAAGAGAGAGCTGACTTAATTTTTAAAAAATGCGAAATTCATTTCTAAAAGTAAGGCAGGACGAAACTCTAAGGTTTTATTTGAGCAAACTAAAAGGTTTCTTTTTTCACTTCTTTTGTTTTTTGTTTTTTTTTCTAACATTTGTTCAATACAGATAGTATTGAATTTAATAAAATTTATATTGAAAAATTTTAGAGAAAAAAGCAAAAATGACGATTAATCTCAAAATTGAAGGAAATTTCAAAAAAATTAGTCCAAGTTTTTTTTTTCGAATCATCTGACAGATATGATAATATTTAGAGGACAAAAAAATAAAGAAAATATTTTGCTGACGACTGACCATATTGATATCTTGTTCTTAGCCAAGTATCTCAAGTTATTAGCAATCTCGATTGCTTACTTTAGATTAAATTACATTCCTGCGAATAAGACAATTACTGAGATTTGCAAAATTTGATCTGCAACACGGCATGTCATAGATAGATAAGTACATACTTGTTTTTAACATATCAACTCAAAATCTATCAGATTATTTCAGAAACCTGATAATACTGCATGATACATTTCAAATCAAACACTGAAAGGTAAAGAAGCAAAAAAAGGCTGCGTTTGTAAATGAGAATTAAATTGAGAAAGTAATAAATTGCAACCTTTGCCTCAAAAAAAATTACTCTTTTTTATTTCTTCCGCAATAAATAAGGCAAAATGATGCCTTAGAAATGCAAAGAAATATTTAAAAGTGCCTAAATTTTTGCTATGAAAAATCAAAGCTTTTAAGCTTTAGTAATTTTTAAAATCATCAAAGCTTAAAGGCTTTTAGCTTAATTTTAAAAATTTTATACATTAAGCAAACTAAATTATCATAACATTTTTTGATGTTTCAGCATTGCTTTATCTTTAAGAATGACTAATTTATCAGAAAACTTTTTAAATATTTCGCGCAAAAAATTAAGATGCAAATTTTTGTGTGATTTCAATAAAATATTTCTATTTTTCGAAAAAATCAAAAGTCATAAAAAGATGGCATCTAATTTTTGGTAAAACTCATACGTATAACAATCATAATGAGTTCATAATTGCTAAATTTAAATAAAAATAAAGACGTTCAAAACATTTTGTTGTAGTTGAAAAACTAGCCTTGAATAAAATTATTTGTCAAGAAGTAATAAAAATTACGTTCACAAAAATCATAGCAGTTCATGATAAAATATACTAAAAGCATTGAAAATTGCAAAAGATTTATTTTTCTTGCAATCTTTGCTTCAAAATTACCAAAATTTAATGCGCAGATTTTTAATTTTCTGTAGTGATGTCAAGTTTTCACTTTTCTTTCACTTATTTTCTGATTTTTACTCTTACAAGACTTAGTCAAAACATTTAAATATTATAAACGTATGCTTGAAAGCAACTGATATGAACTTGAAAAATTTAATATCAATATTTTAAGTATTTAGATCTTTTCAGCTATTTTCTTGCAGTAAATCTGTTAATACTTTAAAAATATGAAATCAAGAACATGTGAGAATTCGTAAACTATGTGAATATGCAAAATTTTACCTTGATTTAATAAGTATTGCTTATTCAAAATAGTACAATAAAAACATTTAAAAGCTTTTTTTTATTTTTGCGTTAATCAGAAGTTTAATAAACATAAAAAAACTTTTATTGGTAAAAAATGATCATAAAATTGAGTTTTATTTTACAAGCATAAGAGCATTTGCACAATATTCAATGATATATTTTTTATCTTTTTAAAACAATAAGATGAGCATTTATCCAGGCTAATTTCATTCAATCTAACTGCTTGTCATTTAGCTTTATTAACTCATTTCTTTAAATGATTACATTAATTCGATCATTAATTAAAAAGTAAGCAAAATAAGTTTGTTATAAATTTGCTGAGCAATCAAATAAAACAGCGCAAGTTTTTATTGCAGCTAAATTATAAGTTAAGTTGACATTTATACTAACATTTTTATGAACTATTAAAATGTTGTTTCTCATCTTTTATAGCATATAATTCTTATTTAGAAAAGTTTTAAATACTTTATTTAAACATGTAAATTCTTCTTCTGATCATTACAGTTGAATTTCTTGAGCACTGCTATGTTCTAAATGAAATAACAAGCTAAACCAAATGCTTTAGTCTATTTTGTAAACAGGCCAAGGGTGAAGATAACATTTTCAAAACAAATTCATTGCAGTAATCACAATTTTTTTTGAATTGCAGAAAATAAAAGTGTATAGCAGTGTTAACGATATTTTTTTGCTACTTTATTCTGTTTACTAATCATTTCACTGATAAATTTCACATTTCAAATATGTTGTTTTGCAGTGATAAATGTGTGCAGACAGATCAGCAAAATACTGCTAACAAATTTTAAAGCTTTTTTAACAAAGTTTTGTATTGAAATTTTTAGAAATAAATAATCCTTACAATGTGGAAAAAGTTCGAAATTCATTTCGAAGTAATTATGGAAAACATTTATTTTAATTGTTTTGACAGGTAATCGCCTAAAATTTTCCATCAATTTTTTTTTTTGAAAAAACAACTGAAAGTATTTGATTATGAGAGAATCAACGACTTACACATAATATTTTAGTATTCAAGAATTTCAAGTACATTTTGATATTAAATACAAAAATGAATTTTGATGAATAATAATAAATTTTATGCATAAAATAAAAAATGGATGCAATGTTTACAATTTTGAATAAAAAATAAGCATTAGTAAAATTTCTTATTTGTTTCCCAAATTTTTAAGAAAAAAGGTTGAATTTTTTCGTGATAAAATAATAGATTCAAAATAAAAATGTCTGTTGCGTTTGATTCTCCACATGACTTCAAAATTTGCAATTTTTCTGTGCATCCTTAAAGATTACTACCATTTGCTTTGAGAAATTCTGCATTATTAACTTATTGTGATTTTCACAACAGTCACAGGAATACTGTTACTGTATTAAACCAGAAATGAATTATAGTTATAACGGATTTGCATCAAAATGAAATGAAATGAATGAATGAATGAATGAATGAATCAGTGAATGAATGAATTAATTATAAGTGAGAATAAAATTTTGCACTAATTTTCTTGAAGACTTCATCCTGTAACCATTTTAAATTTAGTTCTAAAAATGTTCAAAAAAAATAAACTTTTAAGGAAAAGATATTATTGAAAATATTTAAAAATCATAACTAAAATGCGTCGATTAGTAAACAAAATTGTTTGAAATAAGCTTTTTGGGTATTGAATAACAGAAAGCAAATGTCCTTCGAAGCCTATTGATACCATAAATAGAGTAGAATTTTGAATCCGCAAATAATAGGTAGTCAAAGATATAAGCAAATTGTTTAGTAAAGAAAAAACTGAAAAAAATAAAAGCAATATTCAAAGAGTTTGAGTCGTCGTTTTCTAAGTAATCTGAAATTAATGACAAAGATTATAAGAATTTGGAAAGAAAGGTCGTTAAGTATTATCAGTGGAATCAGTGTTTTAGGAGTTAAAGTTTTTTTAATCAGTGGAAAATTCGGAAGTAAACAAGAAGAGTTATGGCATTTACATTATTAGTTGAAGCAAATTTGTATCTAATAAAACTTTTTTTTTTTTGCTTTAAGTAAGCTTTGAAAGCAGATTGCAAAAACATGGAAGTTTAACATACAATGCATTTTATATAATTCAAAACATTTTATTTCATAAATAATTGTGTAACAAAACTTCTAATATTCTGCAAATAATCACAGTTGTGGTAATCTTATGTGATTATATAGAAAGATTATTTATTTTCGTTTTTGAACGAAAACATTGTGATGTATTCAAAACAGAGCTGTAAGCGTAATTATGCAAGTATATTTTGCCAACTATTTTTTACTACTTAACACTAATATTCACAGAATATTGCGACTAATACTTATAAAATATTTTATTAATATCAAAGTTAGATTTAGAACTAGGCATTATTGTTCATTGTATTTTTTAAGTTGATTTCTAAAACAAATTTTTTATTAATTTGACAATTTTTGCTGCGACAATTGTAAATTATTTTACATTTCTAACAGTATCGATATTAATTTAAGGAGACGAATGAAAACGTCAAAAATCTTAATATTTATTTCAAATTATGAAAATTCAAATAAGTGGAATGATAATTTATATTAGTATCGCAAGCGAAGCTGCAATTCTTTTCGTAAATATCATTACAGATTTACTGATTACTTATACAATAATGAAAACCTTAATGAAAATTTTTTGAGTATTCAATAACTTAAATTCTGCATAATTGTTTTTAAGACTCATCAAAAATTAAAAAATAAAATAACTAGCGATTGATGTTATTGTTTTCATAGATCAGTTAAAAATCGGTTGTATAGTGTGCAATGTGTAAACCTACTGAACAGCCTTTACCGCATCCATCTGCTGTTGGAGTTATGGAGGTTTGATGCATTCTGATTCCACGTAAACTATAAACAGCAAATTAGATATGGCTGAATAATGAGTAATATTTTCATAGCAGAGACAATACATGTAGTGGAAATTTGCATTAAAGATGAATGCTTGAATTATAGGCTTTGAAAGCTGCATATGACAGAAAAGTGGTACCATCGGAAAAACGATACTTATATGATGCTTTTGATACACCACCACTGCGTGATCAAGAATTTTTTGTTGGTTTTTTTGTGTGATCAAGAAATTCTTCATAGAAATTCTTTTAGTGAAGTAAAATTATGATTAATCTCATTATAATCATCATCGTACATATTTAAACTTAGTACTAATGTATTCATATTTTTAATTCATTACACTAATAAGTCAAATATTTATTTATTAAGAGCAGTTAATAAAATTGACAAAAAATTGTAATGTCGAAGATGAAGATGTCAGTGTAATCCAAAATTAATTGAAGGTACACTCACTGAAAATGATAAGCAGGATCTTACCTTACAATAATCAAAAAAAAATTATCAAACTCAATCTAATTCTTGCCACTCTGACCCTTCTTGGTTATTCCATTCCATTAATTCTTGTATCTTCCATTTATCGTTATGAAGTATCAATTCTTATTTACACAAGTAACACGTTTAAGTCTTTTCTACAATGTAGCAGATAAGCTTCAATATCAACTACAATAAAGGTTGTCTCAAAATAAGTAGTTCCAATTGATTACTCCAGTACTGTGATTGATACAGTTGTAAGGCTGCTTATATCAAAAGTAACAAACCTAAGACGATAACAATTATTCTATTACAGAAGCTTACAATCTCTAGCTTTTATAATAGAATAATTAGCCAAATTCAATCTCATCTCCTCTCAAGTGTTTTTTAATATTTTTGATCATTCGTTGCAAAAATCAAACATATCTACAACTGCTATTAAAACCTTCTTGTTAGTAGTAATCATAGTTCTATTTAACTTGTACCTGCTATTTAAATGCAGAGTAATTAAATTAAATTAGCTAATGGATTTCTTTAATTAAAAGCTATCAATAATCAAAATTCTTGACTATTCTCAATCTTAGATTTTTGTTTATATCGTAATCATAACTATTATTATTATATTATTGTTTATGTTACTAATCATAATTACCATTATTACAATTAACCTTTCAACGTACAGATAATAAAGCAAATTGAAAATTATAGGGCAAGCCAACAATACTGTTATTAGGGCAATATTCCGTTGGTAAGACATCTATGATCTCGTATTTGCTGAATGGTAACTACCCAGGTGCTGATATCGGTCCTGAACCAACAACAGATATTTTTGCGCACGTAGATTTCAGCGAAAAATCTCAAACAATATCGGGCATAACACTGGCATCAGATAATACTTATCAATTTCAAGTCCAAAAATTAATCTCTTATTGCAATTTACAAAGAATCTGAAGGATGCAAATAATTTTTTTGTTAATTTATTTTGATTGTTGCTTAAGTTTTTTGGCTTCCGTTGCTAAATGGTACGTGTGAGCATGCGTATATACACGTGCTTACATGCATACGTGTGCGTGGATGCATGCTCATTTATATACTTAGTAAATAACTTTATGTCAGAAAATTTCATGAAAACACTTCAAATCATAAAATGGATAACTCAGTATTTGAAGATAAAGAAAAGTTTTGATAAAATGAAAAAATATGGAGTATTTCAGTCATTAAGTATGTTTGGCGACGTATTTCTCAATAAGTTAAGAGCGACACGTTTCAATGCACCCCTTCTGAAGCACATTTCAATTATTGATACGCCAGGCATTCTTACTGGTGACAAGCAAGTATAATTTTATTCTGATGGGAAATTTAACTTCTGCAAATTTAATAATATTGACTGATTTGACTGCATAAAACCGAAATGCTCGATTACTTTGTATTACTGTAGATCATTTGAAGATAAAACCTTGAGAGAATATTTGAGGAATCTTTGATACGAAGACAATTTCTGCTTTATTTTAGGTAGAAAATAGAGGATATGATTTTGCACAAGTTATTAAATTTTTGTCAAATAAAGTCGATTGTATATTTTTGATATTTGATGCCAATAAGCTTGACATTAGTGACGAATACAAGCAGGTATTTTCAATTTGTTATTGAAGAATCTGTACCAAAAATAAGATGAAATCCAAAAAACTCAAAAATTCTTAAAATTTGTGATTCAGTATAGTCATGTTGTAGGTGATTCAGATATTAAAAGGTAATGAAGATAAAGTCAAAATTATTCTTAACAAAGCTGACTCAGTCACTCCTCGAGAACTAGTTCACGTACGTGGTGCACTTATGTGGGGATTGGGGAAAATTATGTCATGTCCTGAAGTGCCTAAAGTAAGATAAATATGATTCTCTGAAAACTTAAAATACCTTTGTATTTTTAAATTTAAAAAAAATTTAAATTTGCACGTGAAACTTTTTCCAGTTTTGTGGTACGGAAATTTTGAAAGAAAGATTAATTTAAAATTTATTGTCTTAGTGTCCACTTTTAAAGCCTGGAGTTTAAAATACGTTTTCCAAGATTAATGATTAAGGTTTATATTGGCTCATTCTGGCCATACTGGTCTGACAAGAACACTTTATTGCGTGATGCGATTAAAGATGACTTGGCAGCTGTTATTAAAGAAATTACAGATTTACCCAACTCATTCCATCACAAACGTGTTAATGATGTCGTCAAACGTGCTCGGAATGTGAGTAAAAAGTTTCTCAAAAAAAAAAAAAATTTGCGCATAATTTTGTTTCATACTCTTAAGATCATTTTTCAGTTACGAATTCATAGTTACGTAATGGATGAAATAGTTAGAAGAAAGTTGTTTTTTTCAAAAACAGAGAAAGCTCCTGATACTGAAACTCAACCACAGAAACTACATGCGATATATCGTACGCTAGCAATGAATAAACGTATTGTATTGAGTGATTTCCCAGATCCCGAAATGTTTCACAATAATGCCAAAAAAGTGATAAATTTCAAAAAAAAAAATTTATTTATTCAAATTATTTTAATAAACCAAATTGCTGCAAAATTACTTTTTGTGTACATTCAAAACAGATTTTGATAAAAGTATTCAGACTCAAGCAAAATATTGGGCACGAATTGATCCAAAGCTAGAAAAGCTTCTCAATTCATTTATTGAAAATGACATTTCACCGATTGTTAATGCAGCATTGAATGAGAAGAAAAACGAAGTTAGTTATCGAATACCAAAGAAACTACCACTTCCAGAGGTCAAGTCAACAATTCCATGCTTGTCAAAATTTAAAGATGAACATTTTTTCACTTCTATAATTATAACTTACTACGAAATTAAGCCGAAAAAAGTTATTCTTTGCGAAGATTCTGAAAATCAATTATGGAAGTTCTTTCTGGAATTCTGAAAGAATTTCAAAAGTATGGGGATCACTGATTGCTCTACACAGTAACACCCTTGCCTTTTACTTATAAATTCTAAAATCAAACCATTAAAAAAAAATAATTTCATACCAATCTATCAAAAAATCTTCAGTTATGTTCTGCTACTCATTACACAAATTTCAATTGTTTGATAGTCTAGTTTGATGATTAAGCTGATTTAGTTTGTAAAAAAACTTGAAAGCATCTAATTAGTTAGAGATTACTTTGTAATTGATTCAATTTAGGACTACAATAAACTGGTGAATAATAAAAAATTAGCTCAGTTTCTGCCAGAAAGTCAGCCTGAAGAATTGATGAAAAAGACGAAGAAAAAAGCATCAGAAGAGGTAAAAAAAGATGATTCAAAGCAAGAAGACAAAGCAGAATTGAGCCCAAAAAAAAGTCAAGAAACGAGTAAAGGAGAAGAAAAGCAAGCAAGTTCAAAACAGAATATAAATGAACAAGCAGATGAAGAAAAACAGCAAAAAACAAGAAAAAGCTTGCAAAGATCAAAAAAAGAAAATGAAAAAAGCAATAAAAGCACAAGTAAAAAAGACGTGGATAGTGAAGCAGCAGATAGCAAAAAACGTGAAGAAAAAAGTGGCAAAGCACGTGAAGGTAGAAACATATATTTTTTTAAAAGTATTATATAACGCATTATTTGAATTTGCATATAGCTGTGCTAGTCTTGCATTTTAAGGATAAATAATAAGCATAAAATTTGTTAGCGAAAAAAAAAATAAGCGTAATCTTAAACAGTGAATTTATTTAGGTGAAAATTCAGATGTACAAAAAAGTGACGCAGCTGATAAATCAAAAAATCAAAAAGAAAATGAAGATGCATTTGCATAAAAATAAATGCATGCAAATCTCAATCTCAATCTCAATGAAATGTTCACAACTTTAATGTCAAAATGAATGAAAATTTGAAAATTTATTAAAATGTAAAAACAGTTAAGTTAGCTTTGTTTCGTTGTACCAAGAATGATTAACATGCTGCCTTAGCTTCATGCTTACTCCATTATTTCTTCGATAAATATTTCAATTTTTTTAGCAGTTGACCACGCGTTATTAAATGAAAAGCTAAAGAAAGCAAAAAGATAGATAGCCCTAAAAGAAGACTGATTAATCTTTTATAAAGTGGTCACTTCAAGTCCAATCAAATGTGCATCATTTGCTTTTTCAAGGTTAAAAGAGCTTTCCCAAATCAAAGCCAAACGAGAATTTTAGAGCTTTTTTGTTGTGCTTAATCCATTTTCAATCAGAAATTTGGCAATTAAATCTTTCAAAAAAGCATAAAAATTGAAATGAAAATATTCAATTAATCGTTTTTCGAAAAAAAATAAGCCATTAAATATTTGTATTTCTCAAAAGTATCAATTAAAGTTACAAATATTATTGTTAATATAAAGATAATTGTACTAGATCAGTGCGCTGTGATAATATTATACAGTTATTAATTATAAAAACAGTTAAGTAAAAAAAAGACAGTCACTACGAAGCAAAAATTATTTGAGTTGTAAACATGCTCCGAATACAGTTAAAATTGTAATCACAACCTAATCAGTCTTTTAATTATAGTATAATTTTTACATAGCAATAATTGATCAAATTAGTATTTTGAATTTTTGAAAACTAAACTATTCCGTTCAATTTTTTTTGTTTGTTTTCAGTAATTTCAAAGATTACTTAAACGATCTTCTCCACCGTTTTATCAATGTCTTTATTCAGTTACGCTTTTTTTTTCTCTACGAATACTTCCTAAAGAAACCTTGGCAATTTTTCTGCAGTAAGAAAAAGCAATTTCAAACATATATCCTTGATTGATTTGAAAGTTGATGGATACTAGCTGTCTTGTGATAATTAACAATGCAGTGAGGGATCAGCAGCAGAATTTAATTCGTGATGGATAAACGATAGAATAATGTAATGCTTACTACTATGACTGATACTGATTAAGTAATGCTTACTACTATGGCTTATACTGATTAAGTAATGCTTACTACTATGGCTGATACTGATTAAGTAATGCTTACTACTATAGCTGATTACGTGGGATCAAAAACTTTCTCTATAATTGTAATTATACAATAGTGGATGACAATAAAGTAGCATGCAAAAAAATGATTAACTTGTGATTACTTCACGATTTAGACAAAAAAATGCATACAATTCAAGAAAATCTTGCTTACTAACCTGTTTTTGTCTATGTGATTGTATTTGCAATTAATTGTGACTTTTTTGAAACATTTGCTATAAAATTTATTATTGAACATATTATGACAGAAGAGGATTAGAACTGTCAGTGGTTGACTTATATGATGGAAAGCTTTTTTTGTATGCAAAAAGTAAGCGATGTACATGTGATTGGACTTGAAATGCTCATTTTATGATGGATTTACTGAGTTTTGTTGTGGTACCATTTTTAGCTTCACTCTGCTCTTTACTTATTACCACTCACCGTTTGTAAATAATAATGCTTCTTCAGTGCGTGTTGCGCCTTATTTTGTGACTATAGAAATCTTCACTTATGCCTTATTTGCACAAATTTGTCACCAGGGTTAGAAATTTATGGCTTTTTAATGCTAACTATTTCGTGCCACTGATATTTTCAGTACTAATCATTTCATTCCAATACTCGATCATCGAGATAAACTTGAAATTGATGCACTGAACTTCATTATATTGAAAAGAAAACTAATTATAAATTTCAATTTATTCGATCTCGGCTGAGGCATTTGATGAATGTTTTAGTCGCAATTACAAGTTTTTTAAACCTTCTTTATCAGAGATAAGGAATTTAAAAATATTCAAAAATCAGTTTGAGTCAAAAAAGTATTGTTAAGAGACTGGCTTTTAAGATGAATAATGAATCATCTGAATATAAATATTTCTGAAATGAACACCATAAGTATGTTTGGTTTGTTATTAGCATTAATATTAAGCTTTCAAAATGTAAATATAAAAACCAAATCTGTTTTACAGCAAGGGAAAGTGTTTTATATACGAATGCAATTTTCGAATCCATTAAAACGGAACAACTTCAAAAGACAAATATCATGATTTCTTTGCTTTCTTATTTTTGTAAACATTTATATTTCGGGAATGATTAGAATAAATCAAACACGCAAAAACTTCTAAAAAATAAATAGAAGAGATTCGGATTCTTAAAAGTTCCTTTCAATACTTCGACTTTTTCCTATTGTGCGCTGTGCAACAAAAAATATTTTAATGAATGATAAGTACACAAAATATCAAATAATCAAAAGTTTGCTGAACAGAAAACAAGTAGATGAATAATATTTATGGAATGCGCGAAATAAACAAATTAAGATGAAAATGATCACATTTTTGAAAATTTCCAAAGAATACTAACTAAACTGAAAAAATTTGCATATTTTTGGATACGATGAAGAGCAGTAAATCAAACTTTGTAATAAAAGTACTGTAATGTATTGATGTTGCTGAATTTGCGTATTTGACAATATTACTTAGGCAAAAGAACTTTTTTTCAGGAAGAGACTAAAAAATTATTGAATGGACTTGAGCTGAAGATTACAGATAAAAATATTTCTACCATACCTTAAGTTACTTAAATTATGGTTAAAAATGCTATATATTAGATTTATCAGTGTCCACTATTTTAGTCTGCATAATAAATTTTCTACAGTATTGTAAAATTTTTGTGAAAAAAATACGCAAACGTAAGACTTTTAAGTGAGAAGCATACTGTATGTGTATGTGTTTGATTAAAATTCATCCAATGAAATAACAAATAAAGTGACGTGCTTGAAATTGAGATAACAATTCAAAAGATCAAACTGTTTCTAATACATTTCTCGGACGTTTGGATATTCCGGCAATGAAGTCATCCAAGTGTTGCCGTTAGCATTACTAATAGCCATCGAATCAGTTAAACATCGCGCGGGAAGCGGTGCTGATGGTCCCGAATAAGTACTATAATAATTTTTAATTGTAAGTAAGTGATGGTCATCAAGCGAATAATGACTCTGGCTATGCCGTAAATTAACTCATCTAATTCATTGAAGAAAGATCGATCGAATATTATGATTCTTTTATTTCTGATGTAAAAAAAATTCTCGTATTTACGGTTTATTTAAACTAATTACTGTTACTAATAGACAGTGCAATTAATATGAGCGTAGTTTCCATTCATATTCATTTTATGTGCAACAATAATAACTCATCATAAGTATGATTATTTTTTGTTATGATAGCAAAAGTTGAAAGTCAAAAAAATCTTGATTATCTAATAAATTACCTATAAATGTTCAAACCATATGGAACGAGCTTTTTGTAACTTGCCAAGCGTTTAACAGTAATGATCAAAGCAGTTATGCAAATTACTGATAACAGTGATAGAAATAAAACAAGAAGGAATACTGGCAGTGGTATGGCAGCATTTTTGATCATACATTGTTCTACCGCTTTACCATTTACTGCAAATGTGAATAATTAGCATTTTATTCATAAATTTCACTTTAAATTCTTCAAACACTAAATTTTACAGTAGCTGTAAGTGAGAGTTACTTTAATTAGTAAGCAGAAACTTAAGAGCATTTTTTAAATTATTACCAAGTTTTTGGCAACACTAATTGCTTTTATCATTTTGCTAGTTTAACAGTGTAATTTACTACTTATCCTATTATCTAAATATATTGTAATTTATTACTATTACTCAAATATATGGTTAAATTTACAGTCAGAACGATTTTGCATAAAATTTTATCAAATAGGATAAGTAAAGAAGACCTTCGCTGCTTTCTAAATCATCTAAAATTGTAAGCGGTCGTGTCAGAGCAATTTCATTCACCAAATCTGACCGACGATTCATTCCGGATTCAAATTCGTTATCCAGTTGACGTCTGTGGCGAAATCTCAATCGTTCAGCAGTTAGATTCGAATTGTTAATTCTTTTGAAACATTTCTGTTTGAAAAAAACAGACTTATTAGAAGTTAAACTTGATAACTGGCTTTTAACCAATTATTCATTTGACTGTTGTTTAAAGTGAGCTCAAATAGTTTTAGTGTTTTCGTTCAGCTTAGAAATATGGGCATAACGTAAAAGAAATAATTTCTGTGAATACTTTTTGGAATGTTAAAATTGGCTCTTAATTAGACTATTTTTTATTAAGTTAAGCTTTTAATTAGGTTAAGCTTATGACTAAAATACCTAGTTGACTTTGTCCATGCAAAAAAAAAAATTATAAAGCACTGTAATTTACTGAAAAACAAAGTGAATAATTTCGATTAAAGAAAAAACTATCTTATATACCTGAGCACATTCTTCAGTAGTGAGACAGACTTGCACAGTACAGTGAGCAAATACAGTCGACTGATTGCCAAAACGAAATGTTTTAAACTTTGAAAAATATACTTCTTCATTAACATTGGCTAAAGGGTCAATAATTTCGCTCATTTCGTCCACAGGACAGCTTAAATGGATTTATTAAATTAACAAAATTTATTCAACAAAACAATAACTAACACATTTAATAATTAGTCATTATCAATTGAAAAATGTCAAATTATTTTTGCTATTTAGAGTAAATTAAATTTTGAATTTGCATTGTCACACTTTTTTTCCACTAATTACGAGGACACGAGGTCAAAAATTATTTCACATCAATATAAATCCTTTTTTTATTGAAAAAATTATATTATTTATGTACTGATTTATGAAGTATAGCATTTCCTGTGTATTTTTATACAATCATAAAATTAACAAGAAATGATGCATTGAATTTTTGACAACCTGCTCTGAACAAAGGTCAGGTGCTTAGCATCAGGTGATGACATATCTTCTCGATCAGAAAACATGCATTCCTTAGGACTTATTCCATGATATGCTTCTAAAAATTATTACTATTTTTCCATTAAATTTTTTAATTAATATTAAATTTGTTTCATTTGCATTTTGTTTCTTTGCTGCATCAACCGACAAACAATTAAAAAGCCATCACATTCTGTTTTTGCTGTTCAACATCAAATTGTTTAGTTTTTTTTTATTAGTTAATCCTTTTTTTCTTTTTTTAATTCTATTTCACTTCATATTTTGTTATAATTTTTGCTGGCAAAAATAAATTACATATCACACTGACATTATCGATCACAATGAAGATTTTAATGAGTAATATGGTAATTCGCAATCCGTAGATATTAATTAAATCTTACTATCTGGCGAGAGAGCCACATAAAATTCGACAATATCACCAAATTTAGCTGCGCGCAATGGCCTTCCATCAATGCTACGGAAGATCATTTCAACTTTAGGTTTTGGTTTTCCACCAGTAGATGCAACCACCTCATGACCACTGAAGTTAAAAGAAAATTATGACGTAAAGTGTTACTCAAAGTAATAATTTCTTAAAAATAGAAAAGTATTGAGTACCGAAAACCTAAAAATGATTCTGATGAATTGTACAATAATGCAAGGCAAAAATTTAAAAATACATAATTGGTTATTTTCTAATAAAATTGCAATAACTGTGTTTTATATCATTTTTTCAAACTCAAATACTTACTTTTCAAACAAGATTTTCTTTTAATCTTGTACAATAATGACAGTAAGTTTAAAAGTTGCAAACTTTTTATAGAATTCATACTTTCCTTTCTTCAGAGAGTAAATTATTTTTGATCTTATTATGTGAAAAATATGATAACAACCTAGAAATATCGTTAAATCGTATTGTTTGCACACTTCTAGTGTACAAACAAAAGACGTGATTAACACGCACAGTTTTGGATGGTGTTATATCAGCATTATCTTCAAGTGCTATTGTCGTTTCTGCATTCCGATAATTGGGTTCCTGAATTAATCCAAAAAATTTTTTCTAAAAAATAAAAATTTTTATATTGGGTACTTTCACTGCTACAAATGTATAATTAAAAGTAAGACAGTTTTGTAAATGAACACAGATCTTTTCATAAAGCTAACTTGATTACATTTGTTACACTGATAATGCTTTATCAGATCTAACTCTAAACAGTTGACAAAATTATCAATAGTAATCTGCCAAAATCTTTTTCCAGTTATGTACAGGCAAGTTAAGTACAAATTAACAAACCAAATCAGTTAGATGCACATCACAATGATCGCCATATGGAATAGTAAAGTTGTAGTTTACTAAATTTCCCTTTTTCATTGCAGAACCACACGGTGGACGTGTTTTATGCTCATAGACGTACACGACTGGTTGTGATTTTGGATCTGACATCCATCGTTGTACGTCAGGATCCGTTTTATTCAGAACAACGTTGATTGCATCTGCCGTACAAGATACTTCTTCCACTACAAAAGAAAATTGAAAGATATAATCGATAGATTGAAGTAATCAGTGATGAATTTAAATCAAATGTCTGATAAAGTATTGACAATTTAAATCTTTAAAGTCTTATCTTAGCAAATGTACTATCTATCTGTTTTACTTGATAACACAGTAATATTTGAGTAAAATTGTTAGCATACAATTCCCTCAAGAAAAGCTATTTTGCTATGATTTTCACCAACTTTAATACTACTTAAAGTGTATATTCAGTAGTTATAAGAGAAAGAAATTCGTGATTGAAATATGAATTTGACTGAAAATAACTTGCAATCAGTTACTTTTTCCGCTTTATTTGAAATAAATTAAAAGTTATCAAGTTTTATTTTTATATTAAAATCTAATTGACATGCGTCAATAAATTTAAAAAGTCTATTACACACAAACTCATTTCGATAAACATTTAGTTTATTTTTTTGTTCAATTTTTACAATAGTCTATCATGAAAGACTCTGAAATACTTTAGAACAAAAGTTACAAGTTGAAAATCTTTGCACGAATCATTCAACATATAAAGTAATTAATAAGACACGCACCAAAACCTTCAGCTTTAGCAGCAGCTATTAGAAATGCTAACAGCGATACAAATCTCGTCATAATCATACTATGCTCTCTTCGCCTGCAAATTTTTTATTATATCGGATAGAAGATGAAATTCGTGATTGAAATATGAATTTGATTGAGAGCTTAAAATCATTTATAGTGGTTAGAAACACTCAAAAATACTTTTACTCTGAGATTATATTCAAAGAGGTGATTTTCTGTTATAAAAAAATGTTTGTCGAAAAGTCAAAATCATAAGAAGACTTCAACTTGCGTAAAAATCAACGAAATTCTAAAAATTATTATTCACATTTAATAATTTTCAGACTTCAATTCAATATCATACTTCGATTTTTTGGGATAAATATAATACTTTGAGATTTCAAATACTTTCAAAGTTTTACTTAAATATTTTCAGAAGTGTACCTTTCACACAATTCTTCAAATAAATTTCATTAAAAAAAAATACTACTATACTCTATCTAAATATCTTAATGTTTCATGAAAATTTTAGATGTTATTAAAAAAATTAGGGAATGCAATGGAAATAGCAATTATAAATTTTGTAAATTTGTGGAAACAATTATTTATTACTTTCATTAATTAAGTTTATTACATTAATGGAGAAAGTGAGAAGAACTAATGTCTTGGAGATTATATTTTTGAAGGAAAAAAAAGCAACGTAAGATTCGAGCAGTGTTTGAATTCAGTTCTAAGCAAATTATTGTGAGCGAACAAGGTGTATCTCGAAAAAATAAGAGACATACACATTAATAATTATAATTATCACAAGGATATAATGGTGTGCACCTGTTCTTCACGCTTTTTATTTTCAGCGTCGCTTTCAGTTACCAATAAAACCTTTCATTTGTCAGAAACCTTTTTACTTCTCAATTCTCAGACGTCATTTTTAAACATTTTGATTATCAAATATCTATGATAATTCTTTGACTTAAACGATTTATACTCATTTCAGATCAATAAAATTTTATCAACAAATTAAATATTAGTTCAGAATTATTTTACAACAAATTAGAATATTGATCAAAAAATGTGAAGCCTCGACTGTTGATAAAATAATCAGCGTGTAACGAAAAAGTTTTAAAACAGTGTACGACTGAGAAAATTAGTACTGATTAATATGAAAACATTGTACTGATTAATATGAAATTTTAAGCCATGTACCGTACGCTACTAAATTAGTATTATTACTTTTATCATTCTTATCAGCATAATTATCTTTACTCATATTAGTTTTTTGGATACTATTCGAGATAGAATAATAAAATAATGTCATTATGGTTGTTAGCCTTTTCCAGCAAGAGCTAAAAGACTAGAATTAGTGAGAATTATAGAAAGATCATAACTCTGAAATCCCAAAAAATGAAAATAAAAATTACTTCATCTACTAATTAACCAAAAGGCTAAGGCTAACCACAACAAAACTAATAAAAAGTAAAAAATGAAATGTTATCTTAAAAAGTATCCGTTATTAACTGATAAAGTTGCGATGGTTTCGAGGTATAAAGACAAAAATAGCTAAAAAATATGCTCGAAGTAGGATGGCTAACATAAAACAAAGGCACAACAATGTCTTTTTAGCACGAATTGCTCTGCCAGGTGAGGAGAAGTACCTCAGCTGCGCGAATATCGGTTTAGCCATTGCTCATTGGAGATTTGAAGCTAAATTACTGCTAAATTAAAGACCGATGAAAGGCACAAAAGATTAGCCTTAGCTTTCGTCCTTAACAACCACTACTGGATCTGCTGGTTACCGGCTTCAAACATTAATACCAAACCTTGCAAATATTGAAGAATAATGCCAATAAATAAAACGTATGATAAAATTATGTGCTAATGAATCAGTGATTCATGAATAATAGTGCTATTTAATTGTGATAATTGCATTATCATGGCAGCAGAAGTAATGATCATTGATAATTGCATCAGAAGAAGATTAAATGATTATGACTGAGAAGATATAAAATGATATTTGTTAGTTTTTAGCATTGATATTTCAGCAGAAAGATAGTTTGAATTCAAAACAAAGAACTGTGAGCAAATTCCAACGAATTGGGAAAGTGAGTATCAAAAATTTGTATGAAAAATGTCAAAGTCTTTGGTTTCTAAGTAAAAAACGTGTGAACCAATGCCAGAAATTATTTCGCTAAAATAAAAAATAACATTTTAGAAATGATTGAAACAAACATGAAAACGTAAAAATTGTGCATACAGCAACAACTTTGGCATTGTTAGCAAATGATGTGTAGATTAATTCATGCATGGATTAAGGATTAAGATAATCTCACCCTGTTCACCTCTTTGTATTAATTTAAATTCGGGAATTGTAAAAGATGAGGGAAAGGTATTATATGTACAAGCGGAGGTAATTGAATGGGATTCAGGTAATTAAAACCTCTGATAAACAATGAGCTTAGCCTCAACTTGTCAGACTTTGCCTTGGTTAACATAAGTAACCCTATGAAGTTTGTAACTTTTTCAAGGGCAATAACCTTAACCTTATCCCAAAGCCATGTTACGATTTCGAGATACAATTACAAAAGTAACGTAAATTTGGTATTTTCATTTAATTCTCGGCAAAATTTGCGTAATCGAAGAAAAAGCAATGTCTTCAAGTATCTCTTTTCTGAGCTCAAGGACATATTTCTATCAGTAGAAAGCGGTCAAGTACCATGACCTGTAATACAATATTGCAATAGCTATTCCATTTCAGAATTAATAACAGACTTTTAGATTCTCCTACTAATAGAGAATGGAAAATTTTATTTCTTTTAATAGACAAATGAATCAAATGCATACTCAAATATTAATTAAATTCACAATAAAATTTGCAATTTTATGTACAAAAATTTGTTTGTGCAAACATTCTAGTGCAAAAACACAACAAATATGTAATTATTTATTTATTAATTTAACGCAGACTGCCAAAAACAGATTTAATCTTCACTGTATCTGATAGATACTAGCAAATATCGCGAAATAAAATTTGATATAGTAATAATGATGTTCATTAAATAAAATTGATTCAGATGCACACGAAAATTTGATTTTTATTACCAATATTGAAAGTATTATGTTTATAACCAAAAAATTTATTAAATTTCTGAATTGAATAAACATTAAACAAGAAAAGATAGTGGCTTCATAATTTTATGAATTAAATTAAATTGCATCTAAAAATTATATTAAATTCTGCAAATAAAAACCTTCACTGTAATAACTAATATTGAAAATATAATTTCAATTATTCCATTTAGATTTTGGAATATTTTATTAGCTATTAGCTGATAGTTTGATGGATTTTCCATTACTAGTTAACATTTACTTATTTGTATTTGTTCAATAAAGCAAATAAAATGAAAAGTAATGCTGGAAGATTGAACTTGGCTATAAGCGTAAATTTCTATAGCATTTGTTCCTTCATTAATTTCCGTACTAACATTGTTCGAATAATTAGAATCCTTTAGCATATTTAAATGAAAATTGAAGCGAATAATTGTTTTCTGATTTGCGAAAATTCGCATTTTTATTCAGTGTACTTCACAAAATGTTTGTATTTTGTAAAATTGTTGCGATTTGACAAATTGAACCATTTTTGAGTCTCTCAAAATAGATTGAATTGCTTTCAAGCATCGCAAATTTTGACCAATTCATCTGCAAAAGAGTGAAGTATAAATTTAAGAAGCAGCAATCTGGAATTTATTTATAGTCAGAATATTTCGCAGAAATTTCAGCTTTAGAAATAGTTGAATCTAATTGAAAACATGTAGTTCGTTTAAAAAATTGCAATTCGTAATTGTATTTTTCTTGCGTTATTTATAACATTTAAGAAGGAAAATTCGAAATCTCATCATGATGCTGTATCTTGGGATGAAACTGATTTTCGGTGATTCTGCATTACTGGATCATAGCTAGAACATTTTTAATTGTTACTTTACAAATATTTGAAAACAAAGACAGTAATCAAAGATAGTAAGAGATAGTAATCTAAGTCGCACATATCAGAGTAAATACTTTCAACATCAAAATTTTGATTCTTGCAAGAAAATGACATCCGTACAAGCATTCTTTCAGCGTACAAATGATAAACGTAAAAATTATTTTTGCAAAAAGCTTTTTTCATATAAAATTTTCGTTTGAATTATCAAGACTAACAAAATAATTGATGCTAAAATAACAGAGGATTAGTTTTGATCTGACAAAAAAACTAGTTTTGCAGCACCATTTTAGTCTACAGATCAAATTAATAATGCAATCATTAAAAAAAATTGTGTCGTACAAACAACTTTCGATATTTTACAAAAATTTGCTAGAATGAATTGTTTTTCTCTTTGCTACCATTGATGGAATTGAAAATTTACAGCTTTGGTTTTTCGCTTCCAATTCTTTAACTATTTCTAGTAATTTTTCAAAAATAACTGCAAATAATTTAATTAACTTAATTTAATATTAATATCTTTGATATTAATAATTCTTTCCAAGCTTTGTTATTCACTTGTTGAAATTGCTTTCTAACTATTGATAATTTTTGGTCAACGGATGTATGGATTCAAAGCTGATTATTATTACATCTGTTATAATCAAAAAAGGTATAGACATTTCTGGAAATTTTTGTCAATATATTTGTTAGTTGCATAAGTTGCTAATCCGTAATTCGGCTTCATGGATTCTCTGAGCGTAGAGCCAAAAATTTCTTTTCTATATTCAGTTTTGATTCTGATTTTGATTCTGACTGCGTTTTTTTCCAAATGATCGTTCCTTCAAGTGCTGTTGACTGATAGCTGAATACATTGTTGGCAACCAAAACTGAAGTCACGAATATTTGTAAATACTCATAACTATTAACATGTTATTCAGTGCATTAATTTTTAACTTTGAATTTTTTTATTTTCTTAGATGCAATATTTAGACGTATTCACGTAAATTAAATGAACAGTTTTTATACCATAAATTACAAAATTATCAAATATTAATTATTTAAATTAGTTTTTAAAATTATTAGCTTAAAAATTTCAGTATGTAAATATAATATGAGAGGGATCTAAACTTCTCGTTCATTTGTATATGGAGTTTTAAATGATAATATTGATGAAATCAAATCTGTTTAAACATACCCCTGATCAAGTAACTTATTAAAAACAATACATACCTATTGTCAATTCTAAATTTGTTAAGATATATCAGAAAACTTATCCCATTAGCTTTTTATTTAGTGTTTTTCTGAAATTTTCAGTAATCTCCGGTAGTCATAAATTTATTCCATTATTTTTCGATTTGTTTCGTCCACATCCTTGTATGTCGACTTTGCCTGGTAAACAAATGTAAAAAGTATAGATTAAAAAATAAAAAATTATAACTGATTTTTAGAAATTAAACTGTTGATTTCGCCAGTATTGATACTTCCATTTGAGGTTGTGATTCGATGATTGCTAAACTTTGTACTGATAGCAGCAGCATTTACTTTGATCACGTGATTTTGTATTTTTCGTGATCCGTAAACTTTTGTATACTTTTTAAGATAAGATCGACGTAGCTGAAAAAAAGTATTCAAAACTTTTAATCTCCATCCAAAATATTTGCATAATTCAAGATACTTTTAATCTTTCGTCCAAAATATTTGCATATTTAGACAAAAATATGAATGAAATTATAATAAGTAAAAAAAGCGAAATTCTGAGAAATTTCCATCCATTCCTTATTTTTTCGATAAATGAAAAATTGACTTGTCGGTTGAGAAGGCCATACAAAATGAAATTTGAAGCTGAATTAATGTATGGTAGAGCATGCACTCCATACATGAAATAAATAAATGATGAATTCGGCATCTGAAGCTCAGGAGCCGAAAAGATTTCCATATAAAGTGAATATAATACCGACAACCAGTATGGTGACCTGAAATTTATGACTATTAGATTCAAGCGTAAAGAGGCTAAACTTTATGAGTTGGCGATAAAAAAGTTAAAGTCCACTAATATATTATTTCTAAAATCTTTCTTTTTTGCTTTTTAAAGTCTTCAACAATGATATAAGTTATAAAGTGCAATATGTTAATTACACTTAGTAACTATCTTTGACGGTTTTTAATTAGCAGGTGCAAATAAAAGCTATAACATAGCTATTAATAATAAAAATAA